ACTCATCAACATCGAAGATCTCGGATGTCCACGTTTAGATCAAATATGTAATGAAGAAACTTTACCTTGTTGTATTTTTCATATGGAATTTAATCCAAAACAGTGTACATTCTATAAAGTATTTGCTATAAGGAAATGGTATATAAATAATTCTTAAAAAAAAATGTATTCAATTTTTATATTAATAAACATAATAATAATATTAGAACATTGTTTTTTTCTATTTCTATACTAACATATACATACATTTTATATATTATGATAACATTTATATACGATATAAAAATATGTATGGACTTTCACATATCCGCAACAGAAAAACATGATAACAAATTATACATTAGTAAATACAAGATAACTTAAATCTATTCAATACATAAATATATATGAAATATTTACAAATTATACATTTATAAAAATATTTACAGAATATTAATAGATTATTCGAGTGACATTTATAAGTTATTTACAATAATCAATTTATAACAAAAATATAAACAAACTAGATTATAATTATTTATTTGTGTGATGGAGAAGCTGTATCATTACATCTTTTTCAATATCACTCCATTTACGACCATCTGCATCTACCTCAAAATCGAGTTCTGACCATTCGTTATCGGGTTCATATCTAAAAAAAAAAATAAATAAATAAATAAAAATATATATTTATTATATTATATACATAATTATTTAAATACTTATTCTATACTATAATGCCCGTGGGCTAATGTGTTTATTTTGTCGTCTAACACCACCCTCTTATCGTCATAACTGTTGTATGTCAACTTCTTTGTTCTAAGTGTCACTAGTTGATGTTTAAATGACCTGATTGACACATTCTCTTTATACGCCTCCACTCCAGCTTCCCCAAACAAACACTTCCTGTGGTCTTCAAACGTCATGTGGTTTTTAACTACATGAGACCGTATCCCCTTCGCCTTAATTTTCTCTCCTCCTACTCTGTCCTCTTTATCTTTCTTCTCATCCTCTTCTCCGRCATAAATTTTAAAAGCATAAGACTTAGCCCTCAACCCACAGAACTCTGTAATTATATTTCCATTCACTTCATCGGAAAAGAATCCAGGGACCTTCTTCCTCACTGTGGTATAGCACGGATGACTAGGAGACAAGTCAGACGTGTCCACTCTATTTAACATGCTAGA